AGAAGAAGAAGAAGAAGAAGAAAGAATGTAAGTGAACTAATTCAGTCCCATAAGGACAAATATTGCACAAAGTCATTATTGTAGAAATGGAAAGATTACTAATAAAATATGTATGAGGATCCAAGTGGGGGAGGAAATGAGCAGAGGAGTGAGGATGGGCAGGGGGTTAATTATAGGGTCGCACAATTTGATGGATAGAGGGAGAGGTGGGTAAAGGAAATGGGAAAGATCTGGTGTGAAAAACAATGCATATGAACTTTGTAAGTAAACCAGTATAAAATAAAAATTTTCTTAAAAAAGAAAAGATGGAAAGAATATACAGTCACTGTACCAAAAAGAATTGGCTGACACGGAAGAATTTAAAGAAACAGCATATGACCAAGAGGCAATGGTGATATCGGAGACAGTGAGATCGGCTCAGGATAGAGCTGGGTTCAGAGCTGTTGCACATAGGTTCACTATGAGTGGCAAGCGACTCGACAGGACATAACAACACAGGGAAACTTACAAGCAGGAGGGGACCAGGGCTGGGAAGGGAGTAAAAATTCATAAATAGGTAAGTCGGGTAACAGTAAAGGCAACAAACAATAAAGGGTTGAATAAGACATTGTAATTCATTAATTGCATTAGTCAATTGTCATTAATAATATAAAGCAAAATGCTTTATATTTTTTAATGAAAAACCAATGTGATTTGTACTTTCACTCAGATAATAAAAGAGAACCACCAAAAATGACTGCCGTAGAGACTCACAGCATGTCTATAAGGACAGGGAAGAGCTACTCTCTAGTGGCTTTGAGACTGTAATTTTTTTTTTTTTACAGAGGTTTTGGATTTCCATTCGTTCATTGCCGAAAATTTTCTTCCTGCCCACCCCTCCCCACCAGCTCGCTTCCCCCTCCGAAGAGAGAGAGAGAAAAAAAATTCCTTCATTAATATACAATTCCCACGCCCCTTCCCCCCACCCCCCACTCCGAGTACACTTCTCTGTTGTTGTTGTTATGTGCCA